CCCCCACCGTCAGCAAGGAAGGACCTAGAAGAGAAGCACAGGAAGGCTTGGAGACATCTATCCTTCCCTTGCATGCAGTATCAAGCTACAGTCGGTATTCAGGAGGATGACTCCAAGACAATACAAGATCTGGATAATCAGAGAATCACTGAAGCCAATTCAACAGTTCTCATGAAAACACATTCGAGAAAGCGGCTTTAAGCGAGTGTTAGAACAAACAAAATCCTTTCTACTTAAGTTCGAACATTCTCTTAATTGACGCTTTTGTGAATTGGACTTCCTTGCTACACAACGCCAAGAACACACACTTTCTGGTGGGGAGGTAGGTGGGGGGGAAAGGATGGCAATAAAAAAAGAAGGAAATAAAACATAATGTTACACTACTTACACTTATTAGAAAAAGCACTCTCATAAAAAAAAAGAAAAAGAAAAAGCATTCTCTTTATAGCATGAATTTTCTAGTTAACAGAAGAACTTAACAGAGGCTGCTTGTTATCCCCAAATATCCATGCTTTCTTCTTTCTTTCTTTATTAGTGGGATCCCGGAATTTTAGCTGGTCACCCGGTCACCCAGCATGGGCATTTCCTCATCTCCTTTGGTGCTAAGTGTGGCCAGGGGACTAGGTTCTGGCCAGTGTGATGCAAATGTAAGAGGTGTGTGCAGCTTTGAGGGTTGAGTCCTTAAAGGGGACAAGACATGCCTCCAATACCTCTGCCCCCCATTCCACTGGTGAGACAAGTGGAGTAGCGGGAACTGGAGGAGTCATTGTAGAGCATGAGGTCGGGACTTTGTGTTAAGGGGCGCCCGGGGGGCTCAGTCGGTTAAGTGTCCAACTCTTGATTTCAGCTCAGGTCCTGATCTCAGGGTCCTGGGATGAGCCCCACATCGTGTTGGGCCCTGAGCTCGGTGGGGACTCTGCTTCTCTCTCTCTCTCCCTCTGCCCCTCCCCCTGGACTCTCTCTCTCTCCAGAATAAATCTAAGAAAAAAAAAAAAGAGTAGCAGAGCAACAACAGAGAGGGAGCCTGAGTCCCCAACACCATGGAGGCATCATATCATCCTTAGATGGGCTTCCCAGACTTTAACCCGAGAGGGAAGTCAGCTTTTATCTTCTTAAAGCCACTGCTGTTTGGCCTCTGTTACAGCAGCTGGATTTGTATTCTGAATGATACAATTACCAACATTTTAGATCATGGTAACCATTTGTTTTTAATATTTTAGGGATGATATTCTTTTGAAACATGTTACACTTTTCGAAGCTCATTAAACAGCAGACGGAACATAATTTACCCTTTTTTGGAGAGAGTAAATGGGAAAGCATAATTAGTATTCTGAGCAATAAAACAAAGAGATTGCCAAGGTCTAGAGGACTGCTGGCCCATCAGTAAGTGGCCTCAGGCTGTGGCACTTGGTTCATTCATACCTAATTCCTGCAGGTTTTTCTGACTCCCCTCATTATCAGGGGTCAAATAAAATACACGCAAAGTGCTTTGGCCCAGAGCCTCAAACAAGGAATGTTACCTATGACTGTTATTGCTATGATGATGATGATGATGATGATGATGATGATGATGATGTAGGGGGACAAACAGCTATTTTTAAAACCTAGCGCTTTTTTTCTTCCTGCTTAAATCATAATCCCAATCATAAAGACACAGAAGCTGGAAATCCCACTGTTCGGTGACATTACAATCAGCTGCATCTACAGAATGGAAGCTAGAGTTTCTCCTTGATGTAGACCCTCTCTGTTTATCTCTTTCAAAAGACCTTAATGGTCTTTGTAGCCAAGAAATATAAGGAAAATCTATCTGTTGACCTTGTGTTGTCTCTGAACTAAACCAGCAGCAGATGCTTCCAACTGAGATGTAAATTCTGTTCCGTAATGAAGAAGGCTGTTTTCAAGGCAGTCAGCGTATGGCTTTTCAGAGAAAATATGAGGTTAAGAGGTTTTTGCTTCCTTCAACTGGGGTGAGAAGGGGGCATAAGGCCATAAAATGATGTTTTCACAGCACTGAGCATGCCCTGGCAATGTGGTCGCAGGCCTGGGCTGAGAGTCACGGGCAGATGGGCCCTGGGAAGAGGCATCACCTATGAACTCTGGAGTGCAGACACCTGACTACCAGTTGAATTTTTCCTTTTCTGCCTGTAATTCACCCAGATTATTCTCAAGACCCAGAGAAGGGGTTAAAAACCACAGCCCGTGTTAGCTGTGCTTGGATCTTAAACGGAGAGACTTGGACCAGAGAGTTTCCACACGTGCCGGGACACAGAGGTGATGGACAGTGCAGTTTGGGAGAGCACCAGGCAAGGAGTGGCAAATGCCAACCAGCACAGACCTGTGACACAGCACAACCAGGCGTCCTCAGAATCTCTGGAAAAAGAGCCTTCTGAAGACTCAAACACTGATTAATTTATTATGACAACATCGTTAGCATGAGTATATCATAATAGTGTTATTATCGGCATAACAATTGTTATTCATTATTTTATAATATTGATCATGTTATTGCATTTTTTCTTGTTCTGTATTATTCATAAAATACCATTTAATTACGACAAAAATTATTATTATGCTTTCCACGTCCAGCTATGTGTCTTGCTTCTCCCCTGAAATATCTTCCCCTTCAAATCGAAGACTATTACTTTGCTATAATTGAGCTTGTGAGAAATGCACCTATGATAAAGGTGAGTAGACTCTGAAGGGGGGCTTGGAAGCATTTTACTGGGAGTAAAATACAGGGTCTTTAAGGTTAGACCAAGTAATATCTTAGTTCGCTCGCTCAGGATTTCTTTTTTAACAACTTCTGTCTCCCCAGCTGTATCTCAGATAGTGAAAATTGCCAAATTAGTGGCCATTTGGTAAATGATATGAAACTGTACAGTTTCCTTGCTGGCTTCTCCACAGTTAAACCCTTTTCATTAATGGTACAATGGGGCTTCTGGGTCTCAGAAAGTGTCAGAATAAAACCGGGGAGACTTGATAGGTTGCCAAATTTATTTTGCCAAGTAAGGACATTTTTTAAATTACCAAATCCTGACAACACACAACATTCAATAAAACACTTTTCTAAATTCCCCAATCACTTAAATAAAATAAACGTTAATGCCAAATAGGAGGAAGCAGATATTTCAGAATAAAGGATGGTCCTTTAGGTGGAATCATTTTAACTTTATGAAGATTTTCACGTGGTTCTTATTTTTGTTGTGTCGCCATGAGGGAGTCAGCGCTTCCAGCAGCCTCGCACCTGGTTTGGAGGCATTCTTGAACACCAAATCCATGGCTTGGGGAGCCGTCTGGGAGCTGCTGGCCTGAGATAATTCCCACACGTTTCCCCAAATACGTGGAAGGTGGACTCAAGGAAGAGCTGGGGCCTGTTGTCCCTGTGAAGCATGGGCACGAGACCTGCCTACCATGTGCAAGACCCATATTGTCAGCTAACCAGCCCCAAAGCTTTCTTCCTGCCCTGACGTGTCTCTGAGAACTGCCCCTTTTAGGACACAGGAAAATTGCCAAGTTGGGCTCATTCCACGGACTGAATTTCCATTTTTCCTGGCCCCAGAAATGCTGCGTCTGTTGGTAATTTTCATTCTTGGGTCACAGCTCCCAGGAGAGTAGGAGAAAGGCCAAATAGGAGAGAGAAGTTTTCAGTGTGTTTCCTCAGGCCCTGGATTTGCTCCCTGGCTCTATCAACAGAAGGGCTGCCCTCCCTGCTCCAGCCTTCCAGATGCAATTCCCACACCTCGGCAATGGTGCAGGTAGCCGAGCTGGGAAGACCTGCCCTGGGCCCACTTCGGAGACACCATCCTGAAGCTGATGTGCCCATGAGAAAAAAGGAGTCTGTCTTTGTTGGAAGAATAACCAGTGACAGAAGACTTTACTTCATGAGATGGCTGAGTAAAAGCTTCTTTTACGAAAGCCCATGACCCCCAAATAACTTGGAGTCACCTCCACCCCCCCCCAACCTACCGTTCTGATTTTCTAGCTGTTGGAAGAACTGCAAAGAACCAAAGGGATAAAGGTTGAATTCATTACCAATTCTTCCGGAAGCTTTGTCTTTCTGCTGACCTGAAATAATCTCCATACATTTTCCTAAATATATGGGACTTAATTGCCAATTTGCATTTTGGTTTGAGTGTTCAGATCTCAAGATGGAAACATAAGCTCTTTCTTTCAAGAAAAATAAATGAAGGAAGACTTCTGAAGCTCATTTTCTAATACCCAAAAGGCTCGTGGAGAACAAACTCAACAGTCTTTCTTCTCCAGTAGCCTCTTCAAAAACCTCTTGGAGGAGACGCTCTCCCTCCTCTGGTTCAGATTGCTTTATGCGATTGCAATTACATCAGAGAATTTCTTTTCCACCCCCTGCCACTCCAAACTGTTAAGTCTTCAAAGGGTCACAGGATTTTAATTCTGCCTCCAATGCCTCTTTGGAGCCAAACTTGACATCAGCACTTTTTATAAGCAGGAAACTATGAATTAACACCCTGAATATTTGTGATGAGTCCCTGGCCGGGGTCGGGGGAGGGGGGAGGCTGGGGTTGGGGGGTGCTCTGTTTTGGAAAATGCTCCTAAGTCCTTTAACACTAGCCTGCACACACTGATGATTTAAGTGTCTCAGGAACATCAACTACTTCTACTAAAATAAATGACCAAGGAGTTCTGGAAGGTGGCTTTGAGCGCCGCCCTAGTCCGCACAGTGAGGGGATCCCTTGGTGTCTGAAACACTAATTTAGATGCAAAACTGAATAATGCGTGTTGAGCTGCGACCCTAAAATCTACTGGCCTTACAGCTTTCCCCATCTGGTGCAATTTGCTGTCTCCACTTGAAAAAATGCACACGACGGGAAGGCGGGCATTGTGTGCCGGCCTGTAACAACGAGGCCCAGGCCACCAGGCTCCCAGCCCCTGGTTGCCCAGCGCCCAGCCCTTGCTCACATCTGCCCAAGCACCCGGGGCCCAGCCCAACGTCACCGTGGAGAAAGGAGATGATGGAGCCGTACCTTGTACCCAGGCTTCCGCCCTCTTTTCTTTGGGATCTTCACTGCTGGCAAAGACCCAGCTGAAGCGGAATAAAGGTTATGGACTGCCATCTTCATGGGTGTTGAGTGAAGTGGGGGCCGGCCTCGCTTCCTCCCCGGGGTCCTCTGAGACTGCATGTCTGCTGGTGCCAGGCTTACAGAAGGAAGTGACAAATCGCTCACAGGCAGAAGAGGTGCTAAGAATGAGTCCAGACACAAAGCAAAACAAAAACAGAAGGGTTTGTTGGGTTTGCAAGGCAAACGTGTATCCAGTTTGGTGTTCTGGGCCATGCCCATCCTTTATTGGGGGGCAAGACCAAATAGGAGACAGAGCCAGGCTGCACACGGAGTTTTTACAGGGCTGTTAGGCTTCTGGTAGAACTTTCCACAGGGCTATCATGAAGTAGGGAAGATACTGGCAACGGGGAGAGGGCAGTAGTTTCCCAGCTCCAAACACAACCAAAGAGTGTCACCAGCAATGAGACGACTTTGTCAATGTGTGTCTCAGTTTCCCCAGTCAGTTTAACTTTGAGGTGATATAATAAGAGTATTAAATAAATATGACCATTCTCTCACAATCGCTCCTGTCCCTTTGGTTGGGTTATAAATGGTTAGGACCTTTATTTTTCCTGTGAAAGAAACTTAGCAATACAAATCGATTGTATTAAAGTTATGTCCCTGGGGCCGCCTGGGTGGCTCAGTCGGTTAAAGGTTGGACTCTTGATTTCAGCTCTGGTCATGTTCTCAGGGTTATGAGATTGAGTCCCACAAGGGACCCTGGTCCCTGCCATGGGGTCTGCTTAAGACTCTCCTCCCCCAACAAAAAAAGATTCTCTCTCTCCCTCTCCGTCTGCTCCTCCCCCCATCATCAATCTCTCTCTCTCTCCCTCTCTAAAAAGAAAAGTTATGTCCTTTGATCAAAATGTGGATAGAGATTTACATACAGACATGTTTATTTTAACATGATTTAGAATGGCAAAAATATAATGGATAGAGCGCATATAACAAGCAATAGGGGAATAGTTCACATATCTATGGAATAAAACAATCAACTAATTAAAAGCCTTTAACCCTACTGTTTCAATAACATGAAGCTGAGTGAAAAAGCATCTCATAAACTGCACATAAAAATTATCTCCACTACGCAAAAGTTCATATGGTGAAACAGCGAAAGGAAACATGTTAAAATGTCACCAATGGCAAAGATGTGCGATTGTGGGTGATTGTTCACTAAGGACACATCCTTTCTTTCAAGCAGATACTCCACATACGGTAATATTCATAGCACTAAAGATACTAATAATGAGCTCCTACAAGTAGAGTTGCCTAAATCTTGCAGCAAGAGGTAGTTGACCAACTCCAACCCAGAGAACACAATGCTATCATGAGCTCAGGGGTCAGATTTCCTTGAATGTTCAGGAATGTGACAAGTGGGACAGAATGTTAGACTCTAAATCAGGAGTGATGTTAGGTGATCAAATTTATTTCGGAGGATTAGTTGTAGCCAACAGTGGAAATGAGAAGCTTTCGATCAAAAGGCTACAGAAAGAGTCAGGAAAGGTGATGGAAGCAATCCCTATCCTGTGGTCTGGGCAACACTACAGGAACCAGATTGCTTTGCTCAGGAAGGAAAATATCAAATAGCAGATATTTGATATCTGAAAACATGATGGGAAATTTGGGGCATCTTTTACCAGTATCAGTTCACTTTGTTAATTCTCTGAATATTAAATAGCATTCTTTCAATAATCCTGATTGCTCTTGGAAATAGCACATCTAGTACATAGAATTTTAAAACATCAATTTATTGGTAAATATTTCAGGTAGATGGACAAGCTGTTGAAGGTGTCCATTTTGCCTGGTTTTGTGTAAGAAAAATACTACCTGTCTTTGATTCTAAGATGCATGCTTTATCACTCATTAACATCTGTGAAATCACAATGCACCTTCAAGCGCGGTAAGCACATCAGAATTCCATAAGAAGCAATTTTTTTTTTCTTATGGTACATGGAACAGTGAGGTGCACTATTATCAAGAGTATCTTACAGTCAATGAATCATGAGCAATGAGGATAAACCCAACGTGTGAACAAAGACTATCATTCCATTTCTAGACTTAGCATCAGTACTCCACCGTGCCAATAAATACCCCCAAACACTCATTTTCACAAAAGAAGCTTCCTAAAATATTAAAAATCCACCAAAATTTATTCAATAGGATTTTTGTGGTGCAAAAATGAGAACTTGATCTGAGCCCCATTCTGAACTATCATGACCAAGTTCCTGCTGCTGCATTATTAGATTATCTTTCCAGATTTTGGAAATAGGATTTTTTTTCCTAGCCTAGGACCTATTTTTCTACCTCTCTACTTAGCTTCTAGTGAGGAGGTCAGCAACGTAGCTAACATTAAGATCAAAAGTCAGTAAGAGAAAACCCAAGGACCAGAGAGGGCACTGAATCTCTTTGCTCCTAAAGGTGAAGGTTCAATGGGCTGCAGTCCTGCTCTGGTGAATGGTGATTCTCTGCTAACTTAGATACTCCCTTGAAAAAGTCTTCTTGTTGAACAGGTTTTGGGGAATAAAGGAAGGGTAACAAATTAATTAGCATATTGTCCTAAGAGTTGGTGACACTCAAAATCATACTGAACTATCCCCATGTTTCTCAGTATGTAAGAAAAAAAATATTTCCTAGAAAAGTCATCTTTTAAGCTGGCCTTTTCCGTTCTTCTACTTCTCTTTCTTGACTGGGAGGGAAAAACCGGACTTGTTCTACTTTCTCCTTCCTTACTTCTGTAGAAGTACATCTATCTTAGGATATGAAGGACTTTCCCTGAAAACGAAATCTAATGAATGAATTTCATGCTAGTGGAGCAACAATGAACCACTATTGGTGCATACAAAGCACCACAGCTATTGGGGAGACACTTGGAGATGGTTTACCACTGATCAAGAATGCTATTTTCCCATTCCTTCTCACACACCAATACAATTTTAATACACAAGTAAATGCAATTTTAAGTAACCAGGCAGAGACTTAAAGACGGAAGAGGTTTTTTTTTTTTTAATTATGGGAGATACTCTGAAAGTCTCCTTGGAATAATTTTAAAGAGATGGGGGGTGGGTGGGGTGGGAAACATTTACAAAGTGGCATTTAATAACAGACCCAGACACTTTGGAAATGTGTGATAAATGGTGACAAGAGTTTAGCATCCCCAAATATCTTCCTTTCCAAAACTAAGATATGAACTAAAAAAAGGAAAAATAGCAAAGAATAATACTGAAAATAAGGAAGAGTCCCAATCTTGGAATGCAATGGAAACAAGACAGATGGGATTTTTTTTTTTAAGGGAGAATTACCACTGAAGATAGACAATGACAATTTATCAGATGTTTAATGAAAAAATCAACACTAATAGAAAAGGAAAGATATACTAAGATATCAAAGATATACTAAGAGGCCGTCTTCCATAATGAAGAGGTTCTCTGTATCTTAAAAAAGTTCTTTAAGAACATACAACAGCAACAAATCCTAATGAAAACTTGAAAGCAAAAGGAAAAAAATCTCTAAGCACTTCGGCAGAACAAATAGGTCATTTATAATGGGAAAAATAAACAGGCTAGCTCTCTATAGCACCATTAGCCAGAAAAATAATGGAGTCACCATAGTGACTTTTTTTCCAGGTGTTTATAGTTGCCACAATGCCTCCCACCACAGGGCCTTTGCACATGTAGTTCCCTTTGCCTGGAATGCTGTCTTCTCCCTTGGTCCTCTCATTCTTCATCAGTTAGGTCACAGAAGTCATCAAATGACCTCTCATTTGATTTCCTAAGCCTAGAGTGCCTCAGCTGTGACAGGAACCCACTGCATATGCAGCATCCGCCATGGAACTTGGACAAGGGAAGAAGGTGGGAATGTGAGTCAACACCACCTGCTGTGCCTCTGGCCTAGGAGCCACTTTCTCCTACTGTATCCATAATATTGTAGTAGGCTGACTTGTTTGCTAGCAGAGGAGAAAACTGCAGACCCTTCATAGTTCCTTATGAAATTTAACCAGAAGTAGAAGGACTTACACAAAAAAATAATATTTAAAAAAATTCTACTTATGCCCTAAAATAAGACTCAAATAAATAAAAAAGATTATTCTGTTATCAGAATACTAAAATATATAAAATATATATAAAAATATATAACATATAAAATATATATATATAAAATATATTTTATATCTAAAATATAATTTTCACCTAAATAATTCTATAAATTAAGTACAATCACATCAAAAATCCAAATGGACTTAGAAAAGAAGGACAAAACAAAGGCCAGTGGGGGACATTTGCCCTCCCAATTTCTAAAATGCATTATAAAGCTATATATAACAATGGCAGCTGTATGGTAAGCAATCAGATCAATGGAAAAGTTAGTCCAGGAATTAAATATATATTAAGTTTCCATTTGTTTTAAATTTGTATCAGGAACACTCAATAAATGAGTTGTGGAAAACAGACACTTAGAAATAAATAAAATTTCAGCTATATTGAGCAAAATTAATTCTAGAGATATGTAAGACTAAAATATATCTTAAAGAAACAAGAAGTACCAAAGACAATAGAGGTCAACATTTTATTTATTTATTTATGTATTTATGTATTTATTTATTTATTATTTTAAAGATTTTATTTATTTATTCATGAGAGACACAGAGAGAGAGGCAGAGACATAGGCAGAGGAAGAAGCAGGCTCTCTGCGGGGAGCCTGATGTGAGACTCCATCCCAGGACCGAGGATCATGTCCTGAGCCAAAGGCAGTTGCTCAACCGCTGAGCCACACAGGCGTCCCTATTTATTTATTTTTAAAGATTTTATTTATTGATTGATTTGAGAGAGAGGGAGAGCGGGGGAGAGGAGCAGAGGGAGAGGGACAAGCAGACTCTGCACTAAGCTTTAAGCCCCATCTCATGACCCTAAGACCATGACCTGAGTCTAAGAGTCAGAGGCTTAACCGACTGAGCCCCTCAGGTGCCTCAAAGGTCAATATTTTAATACTCTTAGGGTCGGACTCTCTAAGTGCATTGAACTACTCAGGAAGCAGAAGAAGAAAGACTAATACACATGACTACATAAAACTCAAATGCTTTCGTA